CATTACAAAATCACCACGTTTAAGATCTGTTATCTTAAAAAAATAAAGAATCTTCACTGCCTGATAGATATACAATATGAAGTGGGTCTCAAACCGGACAAGAAGTACTCCGTTAAATTTCATTTTTCCCTGCCATCTCTCTAAAATATGAACATTTATTTTACCCCAGTATTTTCAATGGAGTTTCTGCCACTTTCTGCTTTAACAACTAAATCAATTCTTAGGTTTATTTAACAGATTGTTTTCTTTTTTAAATTACTATGTCAATGCCATTTAAAATAGTTAAAATAATTTAAAATAGTCACAGAAACCTTTCACCGGACATTTACCCTTGGCTGAAAAACACTAGCTGTGCATATAGCCTAGTATAGCAAGAAAAATATTCAAATGAAAAACTGTGCTTGAAGCATCTTCACTGTAACAATTAAACTTTATTCATTTCCTATTAAAGCTTCAAAAATCTTTCAGTAGAGAGCAGTGAGTGATTTTATCTTGTTTGATTAATAGTAAGAACAGTCAGCAACAGCAATATAGCGCACTTACATTAAGAATTGCCAATACCAATTTATGGTTTCACTTTCACTATTTCTGTTCAATTACATAGCAATTTAGCAAACAACGGTTAATGTGAATACTCACCAAGCGCAACTTTTTTAAAATAAATTTTTACATGTATTTGAGCATTTAGGCGCTTACCTTAAGCTAATAGATTGTTGTATGTGTGTGTTCTGCTCGTCCGAGACTGAGCATATTGCACATGCTTTTAAAAACATAAATCAAATGCAAGTCAATAAATGCAGCACTTGGCATGCTGCAAAATATTTCATTTCAGACTACTTGGAAGGGGGCGGGATATGATATCATAATCGTTTGAGGCAAAAACGAAACTGAATTTCAATTAATTGCACAGTCCTATGAAAACTGTCACTAAATATCAATTAGAAAAAGTGAATTAGCTGCAGCAGGCCTTTATTTCTTACATAATTAATTTTAATTACTTGCACAACAGAAGACAAAGACTAAACGAACGACAGTTCTGGAGAACAGTACTGAACCACTTTGATGACAGACTTTGGCTGAGGGATATTAGAATGGCCAAAACAACATTTCAGATATTTTACAACGTGGTCAGTCCACTGCATTGTCTATTTTTATCATCACTTGATCTGTTAAAACAAAATCATATTACTTTTTTAATGTGCATGCTGGAATTTATTTGGTAAATGAGTTTCCATCATAGTTTATGAACATTATTTCTTTTGTTCAGTTGTGTGTGCATACGTGTGCATATCTGAGTTTCCATTAAGTGCTTTTTAATGTCATATTTCAAATTGTCAATAAAAATTGGTGGATGGAAACAAAGCTGGTTTCACATAAACTCTTTTGTATAATAAAAGAGAGAGAAAAATCCTATTAGAAAAAAAGCATGAAATGACTTGTGCAGCAATTCAAGAGCAAAATAAAAACTAAAAAACTAAAAAATAGCATATCACAATTAGGGCAGCATAATATTGGAAAAAAAACGACATTTTGTTTTTATGTGATATATATTGCGATATTATGAATATACTTTCACAAGAAGAATATTTGGAAAGAATTCCTAATTTTACATTGATTTGGATGATTTTGTACAGAAGTTGATTTGCATAAAATGTACAAAAATTATACAAGATCAAATAAATTAAGGCACAAAATGTTATTAGGACAATTAAATAAACAGTGCTTAATCGCTTTCGGAGAGTCTAACACTATTAAGGTACAGAAATTCAATAATACGATGTAACAATGTATAGTCTTCATTCTATAAATAATTAAACAATTAAGTGACAAATGAAATACATTTCTTTTGCACAAATGGCATAAAATCACTTTAAATCTAAGTTACTAGCCCTAAAAACTCTTGCATTTTTTTCTTCACATAATTAGATTACAGTTATTATGATCCCACTTTTTGGCAATGCAGATTCTGTGATGGGACTATTGCAGATTTTCACATTGCAATATTGAGGCTAAAACGATATATTGTGCAGCCAATATCTCATCCAAGTACTGATATCTCATATCCTGATAATGAAATATCCAAATATACAAAATATTTACTCATTCATGTGATCCATTTCCTCACTTGTGTAGAACTTCAGTGCAAATGTTTGGTTAAAACGTAAAAATAAAATGTATTACTAAAATACAAAACATTCCTAAAACCTAATTACAGGCCCAACATTAAATATCGCAACACAAAATCTAAACATTGTACTTGCAAGCATGCAACTTTTTCACCATGCTGTTAGCCATGTTTCTGCCAGTGTGTAAGATTGCGTACAAACAAATAATGAAAAAGTATTAACGTAAACAATATATTCATCATTACATTTTTAAAAAATGTACTTTTTGCTGCTTGTTCAAACTACTTATTTAAAATAAGCAGAAACAACATTTTTTTTTTTTTGGGAAAACTTAATTTTTCTATGTTCAGTCCACTTAAATTTATTAAATTACCTTACAGATAGCATGAATGAAGTGTGGAACCCTGCCTTTTTTACAGCATACATAAAATATTTTCAGAATTTGTATGTTTCCAGATATTTCTACAGACATTATTTTAGTCATTTATTAAAATATAATTCACACTGCAATTAGCAGTTATAAATAAGACAACGAAGCAATTAAAAAAAACTAATAATTACAATAAAGAGTTACAACTCATCCACACAGCCCATATGCCTAAACATGTGCTAAACACAAAGCATGTAATCAAACTCAATTTATTCTCTGACATGTTCCCTGGAGTAATTTATAGTAGTATTACATACTGGAAGAACTCTCACTGACACCAAAAAGGCATGATATAACATCTTCAACAATATGCAAGCATTCAGATGAAGAAAAACACACGCCAGGAACCAGGTGCAACACAAGCCAAAAGCGCTTTGTAAAAAGTCTAATGAAAAGCAGAATGTTAAACTAAGCCTAGAGGACACACAACTGACTAAGAAGGCAAAAAGCAGTCAAGCTGAACACCCCATAAAGTGAGGTTACGTGTGAACCAGTCATCAGGATCTGACTCACTGGAGCAGCTTATTATATTATGTCTGATTCTTTGTGTACAAAAGAGGATAGATAAATATGCAGACAAAAGGAATATATAATTGGGTTTAGACTTGAGAAGTTGGTCTAACTTTGCATCAGCTAGCTAGTTGAATAAATAAATAACTATTTATATATTAATAACTTATAAATAAACACACATTTCTGCAAAACATATACAAGTACAACCCCTTCTATCCATTTCTCCGTGAATATAGACAATATTTTTTGGTGCATTTAAACAAAACAGTTTATTTAAACAGTTTTATCCATTAAAATAAGAGATTGGTCATCTAAAATCACAAGGATTATGAGTAATTTAAATACATGTAAATATAGGAGGTATTGCATTGCAAAATAAAATAGATCAAATATAAAAAAAAATTAAATTATTATTTTTCTCTTGACTTTTTCTCTTTATTAAAATTTTATTTCATATTTTTTCTGACATGTTAATTTTAGTGTACTATTTTTGGACTGTGATCTTAAGTTTTGGTAAATTAGACTTATTGTATATTATTGTAAAGCATCCTGTAGACAGGGGTGATTTATCCAATAAGCAAGGTAAGCAGCCATTTAGGGCCTCATGAATTCTGAGGGCCCACCAAAAAAATACATAGAAGTATAAATAATACCTATAAATTATATATAACATTGTTTTCTATCATATTTTGTACGATGAGGGTCTAACAATTTTAATTTGAACGTAATTATTACATCTGCGACTTCAATCTTGGAGCAATCAAATCAGTAAAGATTTAATTTTAGTATTACTATTAATTTGTATTATTTTTAGTTGTAAATTCATCCGAATAAAAGAAATCGTTTCAAAAGTTTTACAAGGTGCTTTACGTGTTATTCTTATTTTGCATTTAGATAAAATGTAGAAAAGGAGATCGAATGATAAAAGAAAAAAAAAAACTGCTAAATATTTTACAAAATAAATTAAACCACAAATGGTGCATTTTAAAACTTTTGGGCCCCATGGCATTGCTTATGGCCCAAAAATCACAAAATCTGCCCCTGCCTGTAGAAGATATAAATTTTATAAAGAGAGATCTGTGAGGGGTGTACACATTTACACAGGGCAAAAATAATTACATTAAAAACAAACATGTTATACAAATTGCTACTCAACAGAAAATTAATAAAATAAAACTAATAATAAAATACTTAGAAAAAAATATTTTCATCATATAAAATGTAATAATAATGAAAAACATGTCTAAATTTTTAGATGTTATTTTATTACAACTACTCAAAGTTATAAAAAAAATCAAATTTTATTTAAACCTTGCTAATATTTCCAGATTGTCCAAGACCATGTGAACCTTTTAGACTTAAAGATAAAGCAGTTGATGGCTGACTGATCAACACATATAGAAGAGAGAGATACATGGAGAAACAAGTAAGATTGCCTGATAGTTAAGAAAAAAAAAAGAGCAAAAGATCTACAGAGGAATGAACACAGAGATGGACGAAGAGAAGAAAATATCTAAGGGGGAAAAGATGGATGCAAGAGAGATGGAGATAGACACAGAAGAGCTGAGAAATATAGCGGGATATGCGGAGTGGAGACAGACAGAGGAGTAAACACAAGAAAACATCCACAGAAGAGAGGCAGAGTAGCACAGTGGTGTGCAGAATGCTATTTGTACAGCAGTAGAGTTCAATAAAAGATAGTGAGAGTGTGGTAAACAGAGATTGAGTGCTACTACATCTATCGAGGGAGCGCAGCTGGGCGCCCGGGACTCATCTACTATTGTTTTGCTCCAACTGCTCCGTTTCAAATATCTCTGTTTGTAAAGCAAACTGAAGCGGGCAGGCCGGCAGCATGAGTGAGCAGCAAGCGGGCTGCGGATGTGTGTGTAAATGTGTGTGCGTGTTTCAGAGAGAGAGAGAGAGTTTCTCACCTGGAATAAGAAAGAGCTCCAGCTCTGCTCCATCATCGCGTCTCACTCACAGAAACAAAGCGCTCAACATGGCAGAGCGAGACTTCCGCCACCCCGCGGGACGTACCACTCACGGGAAGGGGGGTGGAATGGAAATTAAAATGATTCGTTTAATAAAATACTACTCAGTTCTACAGTAATAACAAATGTGAATACATATGTGAAGTGTACGAGTTACAATACAAGCTGGGTGTTATTCGAGCGTATATGATACAAAGTTTTTAATTGAATGTTTAATAAAGCACCCCTGTTTTTCGATTGCATCTCGACAGACTCTCGGGACGCTCCAAAAAACAGGAGTGAAGTTGATGAATAGCTCGGAACTGTCGCGAGACTCGTCATAACTCAGTGCGCGAGATTGACTGACTGCGGGTTTATCTGCATTTATGCAATTAAACGCGCTTTTTTCTGTATATAAAGTATATTTTCACACTTTTTATTACATGATTGTGCATTTTATTGCATTACTGTTGTCTTGTTTAGTGGTGTTGATTTTGATTTATTTGATTATTTTGAGTCTTTTCACTAAAATGATTTGTTCAGTCATTCACTTGACTCCTCCAGTGTGTTCGGTTATTGAATCACTTGTTCAAACAAAATAAGACTTTTCTGAAGTAGCAGGCTCATTGAATGTTACTTCACCCCAAATTGAGCATTTTGTCATCTTTTACTGACCATTTAGCCTACTTACTTCAAATCTTTATGATTTTCTTTAAGCTGAAAACCTGTAACCATTGGCACCCATATATAGATCCACTTGAGAGTGAGTAGTCTAAATAGTCGTACAGATTATAGACTCACAGCAAGAAAGTCACTGGTTTGAGTCCTGGCTGGACCAGTTGTCATTTCTGTGTGGAGTTTGCATCTTCTCCTGGGTTTCCTCCGGGTGCTTTGGTTTCCCCCACAGTCCAAAGACATGTGCTATAGGCGAATTACCGGTTTGTAAACATTCAGGATGCGCGCGCATCAAGGTTGCAGAAAAAAACCCCCGGAAGCACTACCATTTACAGCGAAAGAATGACATCAGATGAGGTACAAAGTTTGTTGTCGTGTTAGAGATAAGTTCTATTGAATACATATTATATATATATTATTTACATAATGCTTTCAGCGTATTTATCAGCTCGTCACCCAGTGATAAGCACAGTTATTGGGCAAAATGAACGTTAAAGTGAGCTGCGTTCATCTGACAAGTCCATTTGCGATAGCACCCTCCCGCTGGATATTGGATAAGACGAAATGGCCAAGCATCTCATTTAAACTCCAAGTGATTTTACAAGAGAGATGTTAATGGCCTATACGTCTTTGGATGCCATCAATTTTGTTCTGTGTGGCCATGTACAAGAAATAATGTGCCATGATTACCAGATTCAAAACTTTGTAGTGCTATAAACCGAGGTTCTGCCTAGCCAAAGACAAGGAAAGAAGACAGAACTGTACAAGGCCTGGGTAATCATCAACAAGCAAACCAACTGCATTCTGACAGCGAACACTGAGCGTGATGCGCTACATACTGACTACACCTGTACGGCTGGGTATGTGAACTTACACTTACATTTTATTCTTAGCTTGCAGTGTCCACAGTTTAATGAATTTGCTAAAATCATTGCTGCAATCAATAAATGAGTATTGTGCATGATTCAGCATAGCGTGAGCTTACCTGATATGAAATGAGAACTGCAGAATTGAGCATTTTATTAGGTCCTCACTCCATTCAGCTCTAATGATGGCTGTTAGCCAAAGAAGTCTGTGGTTGGCATTAAAAGCAGTGTGGTATACGGTAAAATTTACGTTTTCTATTTTTGGTCTTTGATTTTGACATCCTACCACACAACACAACATGTTTGCTATTGCAACCGGTGTTTTTTTGCAACTGGTATGCGCGGTTGAACTCGTGAGACGTCATGTGTGGTAATTCTCCTATTGGTGAATTGAATAAACTAAATTGGCCGTAGTATATGAGTGTGTGAGAATGAGTGTGTATGGGTGTTTCCCAGTACTGAGTTGTTGCTGGAAGAGAGTCTGCTACATGAAATATATGCTAGAATGGTTGACGGTTTATTCCACTGTGGCGACCCATGATAAATGGACCAAAACAATTCTAGAGTAAATCCCTAGAATGCTGCCCATCCCTTGATGGATGTTCAGTTCAGTCCTCCTCCACCATCGGTGAAGAATTTGGGGTTAACTTTTGATAGCAACCTGTCATTTAAAGGCCAAATTTCAAGCGTCTGTAAACCAAAGTTTTTTTATCCTTATAATTTTGAGCGGTTCGGTCATGCTCTAAAATGTTTTTACACTACTTAATTCGTCCACAAGGTGTCAACACTACATCAGGCCGTTGTTTAAAAAAAGAACCGCAAGAAAATACTGAAGAAGGCAAAAACAGTAGACCATCTGCGTTTATGCAATCATTTTGGAGTGTATGAGTGTGTGTGTGAATGAGTGTGTATGGGTGTTTCCCAGTACTGTGATGCAGTCGGCTTAGTCCCTTTATTAATCCGGGGTCGCCACAGCGGAATGAACCGCTACCTATCCAGCAAGTTTTTACGCAGCGGATGCCCTTCCAGCCGCAACCCATCTCTGGGAAACATCCACACACACACTCATACACTACGGACAATTTAGCCAACCCAATTCACCTGTACCGCATGTCTTTGGACTGTGGGGGAAACCGGAGCACCCGGAGGAAACCCACGCGAAGGCAGGGAGAACATGCAAACTCCACACAGAAACGCCAACTGAGCCAAGATTTGAACCAGCGACCTTCTTGCTGTGAGGCGACAGCACTACCTACTGCGCCACTGCCTCGCCCCAGCTGTAAGGGTATCCTCTGTGTAAAACATTCTGGATAAGTCGGCAGTTCATTCTGCTGTGGCGACCCTTGATAAATAAAAGGAATAGGGGACCGCAGGGCACAAAGTAACATGTGGAAAAAATGTAACACGGGTTTTAAGGTGTTTGATCAGGGTTAGCATGGCATGCTTTGGAGGTTTTCACCACAGTGTCAGCAGAGGTCTTTAGTTTGACAAAATTTGGATGAGAAACACAGAAGAAACCATTTTTGCAGCATAAAAGTAATTTATTACAGTGTATGTTTTTTTATTTAAAAGAAATCTTTGATTGTAAGTAAAATCTTATATTTTTGTGATTATCATCTTCTAGGCTAAGAGATGGAACCGTTTTGGAAGATGTAATACACAGTGTCTGCTAGAAAGTTTTGAGGAAAACAGTGGGGTTAGTTGTAACAGGGTGTTACAAATAAGCCACACACTGTCGGACACCAATTAAACTAACTAAATAATTTTTGAGTGTAATGTTAGAACTTTTTATATAAAAATGTTTTTAACAGGCTGCACAGTGGAGCAGTGGGTTCACCTCACAGCAAAAAGCTCGATGGTTCAAGCTTTGGCTGGGTCAGTTTCTGTGTGGAGTTTGCATGTTCTCCCCGCGTTTCCTCCGGGTGCTCCGGTTTCCCCCACAGTCCAAAGACATGCACTTTATGTGAATTGGGCAGGCTAAATTGTCCGTAGTGTATGTGTGAGAATGAGAGTGTATGGATGTTTCCCAGCAATGGGTTGCAGCTGGAAGGGCATATGCTGGATAAGTTGGCAGTTTATTCCGTTGTGGTGACCATTGATTATTAAGGGACTAAGCTGAAAAGAAAATTAATGAATGAATGTTTTTAACAGAAAAATATTTTTAATAGAAAAAAATATCTAATATTATTGCTAATAATAATGCATAATATAATAATGCAAATAAATACAAATGTGTTTGTTGTGTAAAACGTTGACATAAAAAATATATCAAATTGAGTTAATTAGTTGAGTACACTGAATTTTAATTATTGTGTGAAATTTGACTTTTTAAGCATCTGTTACAACTTGCCCCGCAGGTGCTGTAATTACACTGAAAAAAAAATTCAAAGATGATTCCTTGAATTTACTAATGTTTTTTAAGTTAAGTGGTTGTAAACAATTTATTTGGGCTAAATTTAAACAAACAAATTAAGTTGAAAATTACTACATTTAATTTGTTTGTTTAAATTCAACACATATAAACTAATTGCAACAGTTCTGCAAACAGCATTTTTTAACATTTTTACTCCTGGCCAGGGCCATATGGAATCTGCAAACGTTTTTTGCTATTTCTGCGGAGAATTTTGGTAAAAATCTGCGGATTTCTGTGGAATTATTTTGGAAGTATCCAGCGGAGTATCATAACTAAAACCTTGATATATTAAATAAAAAGTAATAAATTACTGAATAAAAACTGAATAAATTCAGATTTACACATTTACTCAAGTAAATAAACAGAATTAATAATGTTTAAAACATAATGTTTATTAATCTGCGGAATTCTGCGCACGCAGATTCCATGTGGGCCTACTCCTGGCACTTTTGGTAGTACTGCACAGCAACCATAGGTCCGGCGATCATACAACCAATGCTCATTTGTAGAAAAGGCTTGTGTGTTGTTGGTAAAAAAAGGGGTTTGTCTAACCCCATTCTATTGTTCATTATTTAGCTAAAACAAAAAAGTGTTACTTTGTGCCAAACTCTCCCCTAAGCTGAAGTAAAAAATGACTAAATGTTTGGAGGAACTATCCCTTTAATTTCTTTATTGCAATAACAACAAAGCAATTATAATGTAGACAAATGTAAAACAAGAAAATAATATAGTAGTAATAATTCAGAGATTTATATGAATTAAATCGCACTATCCCCTTAATGTTTTGTTCGTTTAGTTCTGTTAAGATTTTAGTTCATTCACAAACGAGTTGCAATGAGATGAATCACTGCGTAGAATGACTCGTTTAATTAAATGATTCATTCACCACCTCTATAGCTGCAGCAAGCCTTCATGAGACAGATTTGTGTGTCGTTTTACATGATTTATTCGTATAAATCCCCCAGCAGACGTACTGAAATGATTAGCTGAAGGCGCCTGATCTATTTGAGGATGGTTTTATAATCAAGAGCGACACACAGAGCGAGTCCTGAACTGAATTAACTTAATAACCCGATTTATTTGCAGCGGGGTTCCTGT